ACCAATAAATTGTGCCCGAGATTATTATAATGGGGCGCTATTCTATGATAGTAACAGATTACACATATTTCTATGTGCGTGTCCTCCGATGCTCGCTCGTATCACGCGATATTGTGACATCACACAGTTTGCGACCGTTTACGTCTTCATCGCTGATATTAGCATTTTTAACCAGTTAGAAGCCAGAAATGCACACGACACGTTATAGAAAGACGTTATTGGTGTTGGAAACTATCACCGTATTGGCTATGCAATACGATCTAGACTTACTGCGAGGCCCAGGAATTTTAGTTGTAATAAATCACAAAATAATCAACATGAATGTTTCACTAGTCACTGATTTACTGATATGATACTATTTAGCATATGTGCGCTGATCATATATCGAATGGTTATATATTTTTATCGATATACTCATTGAATTAGATCAGCTGTGATAAATAACGTTCTCGAAATGAGTAATTAGTGATGTTTTAGTGAATGGTGCTAATTAGTAACCAATTGTGCAAATTGTCTCTCCGGAACCAAAAGTGAACCCATAGCAATTGCTGGTGGAAATTTCGCAAGAGACGTCATAACAATTAAAATAGTTTCGTAGTGTCATGTAAGAAGTAACTAGTCCTAATTTAATTTAATTAGAAGATCCGGACGTAAGCTCATAGTAATCTAGAAAACCCAGTTGGTTAAACAAAAAATATACAAAGTAAATAAATAAATACAATAATATATATATATATATATAATTATATATATATATAAATCAGAGGTTATAGAAGTGATGTCATGGACCTGGCAATCCCTAAACAATTTTTAACTGTTCTCATTAATTAATTAATTAAGTAAGTAAAATGCGCCACGTTTCCATAGACTGTATATATAGCATGGGGACCTATACAGTAACCACAGTACTAATATGTGCAGCCGTGTATGTAGAATCGACACATAGCAGGTATACATGTTAGCGACGCATTATACGACGCATAGCAGGTATACATGTTAGCGACGCATTATACGACGCATAGCAGGTATACATGTTAGCGACGCATTATACGACGCATAGCAGGT